CTGTATAGTAGGTTTTGAGATCCGGCAATGTGAGACCTCCTACTTTGTTTTTCTTCTTCAGTAGTGCTTTGCTTATCCGAGGTCTCCCTTGTTCTAATTATTAATGGACATTTGCAGCTGTTCTCATTGTATCACATCAGTAAATGAAGGTCCAGAAAGCTTTACTCCATCCACATCATTAAGGTGGACTCTACTTTTAAGAGGTGGCTTTTCCCCAGTTGTATTATGAGTACCAACCTGAGGGGCTCACCTTCTGGCAGAATATCAGACAATGCTTCCCTCGTACTCATAAGGTATTCAGTGGCCCGTGTTTTCAGAAGTGGACCTTGTCATGTCCTTCTTTGTAGTCTTAGTCTGGAAGTACTATAGAAACCTCCACCACGGGCAACCCTGATGAAATACTGGTGCCATAGCTTCCAGCATCTCAGCAACATGCAAGCCATGACAGCCTGACAAACTGACAGACGAGTGGTAGAATCTCTGTGTACACACACATATGTACTCATATATAAGCTTTTCTGGTTTTACTTCTCTCGAGAATCCAGCCTGAGACAGGTGACTTCTGTCTATCCTTAAAACACTTTTTAAAATTAGAGCCTAAATTGGATGTTTCACGTTTGGTCCTGTTAGTGGGTCCTAGGAATAGATTCTATATCAAATCCTGAGACCCCCTACTCTAAATCCAAGATCCTTCTTTGGAGCCTCCTCGGGGTTTTGTGATGTCCAGAAAAAGGAGTCTCCATCCAAGGTCTCCATGGGTTTCTTCTGAGTGGCCACCTGATGCTTTGAAATGCTGATCTTCCACTTTGCAGCTGTGATTATTTGGCTAGCTTCCTGCCCAGACCAGCATGGTTCCTCCAAAGACACACTGCTTTTATAAAGTCAGTTATAACCAGGGAATTCTATATCCCTGAGATACTTAAACTGGGAGCTTTGTTTTCCTCAAGGTTCACCTGTGATTTGAGAAGTGGTGGGGGGAGGTGTGGTGGACTGAGACCATATACTCATAACTAACGATGACTAAGTACTCACAGCCAGGTTTTGTGTTAATCTCTTGTCCATGGATTATTTCATTTGTCCTCACCCAGATTCAGGTGTTTGGTAGTATCATCCCATTTTACAGAAGGGGGGAACAGATTAATTCATCAAATATATATTGAGAATCGTTCTAGATAGTTCTCTAAGAAGCAATGGACAGTGTTGACTAATTCCCTGCTTGCTTGAAACTTAATAGTTCAGAGTTAGGAGACAGACAGTAAATACATTTCCAATTATTTTAAATGGTGCCATGTTCTTGTTGTTGTTATGTGCCGTCGAGTTGGACCCGACTCATAGAGACCCTTCCTTGGGTTACCGAGGCAGTATCACTACGGAAGTAGATTGCCCAACCTTCCTTCCAAGGAGTGGCTGGTGGGTTCGAACCGCCAGCCTTCTGGTTAGCAGTCAAGTGCCTTAGGCACTATGCTATGAGAGCTCCTAAATGATGCCATAGGGGAGACAAAATAAAGTAGGGCAGCAGCGGGGGTGGGGAGAGTGTGCTATGTGTGTTTGTATGTGTGTGATGGCTGAATGAAGAGCTGAAGAAAGCCAGGGAGCAAGCCCAGAGGAGGAAAGGTTAAGTCAGGGAGAAGTGAAAACAGGCAGAGATGCTAAGAGTCTGTGAGAAACAGCAGATCAGGGGAGAGCAACAAGGGATGAGGTCTGGTGTGTGTGCAAAGAGGAAGGTGGGCACATCAGGAAGGGCCCTGTAAGTGTTTTTTCAATTGTTGTTGTTGGGAATATACACAGCAAAACATACACTGATTCAACAGTTTGTACATGTACAATCAGTGACATTGATTACATTCTTCAAGTTGTGTAGCCATTCTCACCCTCCTTTTCTGAGTTGTGCCTCCCTAGGACCCTGTAATCTTTTGTAAGGAATTGGGATATTACTGTGGTGGTGGTGGGAGACTGATCTGACTTCCATTTTAAAAAGGTCATTCTGGCTGCCATGTGAAAAAAGAAACTGGGGTGAGTAGCAAACCAAAACCAAACCTGTTGCCCTCCAGTCAATTCTGACTCAGTGACCCTGTAGGGAAGCATAGAACTGCCCCACAGGGTTCCCAGGGATATAAACTCTACAGAAGCAGACTGCAACATCTTTCTCCTGGGGAGCAGCTGTTGGGTTTGATCTTCCAACCTTTTGTTGGCAGGTGAGCTCTTAACCACTGCACCACCCGGGCTCTTTAGGGCCAGTAGAAAAAAGACCAAGGCCTCGGTATCATCTATGGGATGAGTAAACAAACAAAGCCCACTGCCATTGAGTTGATTCCAACCCATAGTGACCCCCATTGGGTTTCCAAGGCTGTAAATCTTTATGGAATCAGACTGCCTCGTCTTCCTCCCACCGAGCAGCTGGTGAAGAACCACAAACCTTCTGGTTAGCAGTCAAATGCCTTACACACCGAGCCATCAGAGCTCAGAGGATTAAAGCCTTCAGAGAAGGGAGACAGATAAGGAAGCTTCTGCAAATATTTCAGATATTAGGGAACTTGCCCTAGGTCACTCGTCTACAAAGAGGGCACAGCTAGAATTGATTCCTTCCCAGGTGATCAGACCCTAGGGCCCCAAGCTGTACCTACAACATCATACTTTCCACAGCCAAAATATATCCAACATCCACTATGTGGCAATTACTTTGTAACTCCTCACAAAAACTTGTAAGGTTCTGGGGAACATCTATTATGTGGTAGACAAAAGGAACCCTAGTGACACAGTGGTTAAGTGATTGGCTGCTGACTGAAAGGTCAGTGGTTCAAACCTAGTCAATTCTACTCTGTGCCATAGGAAGCCACTGGACAGAAATGGTTGTCTTTTTTTTCATTTTGGTTTACTATGTGGCAGATGTTGTGCAAGACCTTTACCGCCATTATCCCCTCTTAAGGTCGCAACAATATTTTAGAAGCAGACATTATTACTTCTAGTTTACAGCTGGGAGCAGCTGGGAGCTCTGGTAGCATAGTGCCTAAGGCACTTGACTGCTCACCAGAAGGCTGGCGGTTCAAACCACCAGCCACTCCTCGGAAGGAAGATGGGGCAATCTACTTCCCTAGTGATACTGTCTCGGAAACCCAAGGAGGGGTCGCTATGAGTCGGGTCCGACTCGACAGCACATAACAACAACAACAGTTTACATCTGGGGAAACCGAGGTTCCGAGGATGAGAGACTTGCCCTAAGTGGTTCTTTGCTGGGGTGTAGAACAGCCGATACAAGCCACTGGCTCAGAATTCCTAGTGTTTATTTAGAAACATTTGTAGCTTTCTTCCAAAACGTGTACCCCACAACTCAGAAGAAACGTAAATAATTTCTAAGATTTGAGGCGAATCAAGGTGCCACCAATTAAAAAATATATTGTAAACTAGTTTGAAATATACCGTTAACCGTATACACTCGTTTTAAAAAACAAAAATGTATACATTTGAAACCAAGTTTTCCATTCCATTTGTTTAAGTTACTGTAATAAAAATAAGCAAATATATAGGTCCTTGTCAGTTTTTTCTTTTTACAAATTAGGAGCCAAAAGGGAGTCGAACCAACACTAAAATTACCCCCTCGGCCTAGCGTTGATACAAGAGGTCGATTCCATCAACTCTCCATTATTAATGTCTGATGAGGTTCCACCCCTTCACCCATCCACTTCCTTTCACCAGCAGCCCTTTATTTATTTATTTTTTTAAATTTATGTTGTTGTTGTTATGTGCCGTGGAGTCGGCCCCGACTCATAGCGACCCCTCCTTGGGTTTCCGAGGCAGTATCACTACGGAAGTAGGATTGCCCAACGTTCTTTCCGAGGAACGGCTGGTGGGTTTGAACCGCCAGCTTTAAATTTATAGTGTTGCTCATTTGAAGGTCTCGCGATAGCCTGCCCTCTTCCCATAATTCCGTGCGCTCGCCCCTCCCTTTCTCTTTCCGCCATCTTTCCGTGCCGGTGAGTAGCTATCTTGGAGGATCCAAACCTCATCTGTCGGATATCAGCACCATCCCGCAGTCTGAGACTCCGTTTCTGTGTCCTGTGACAACACCAAAGCCCGCCTGGGCCGGGGATCCTGGCCTCGAGGAAGCCTGGACAGGCAAAAGGGAGAGCCGCACTCGGGCTTCCCACAATCTGCATCCTGGGGAACCCGGCGCGTAGGGCGCAGGCCGCAGGCTGGCGGGAGCTGGAGTCTCACCGCCCGAAGAGACGGTGACCCGGCTCGGTCTGCAGGCCTAGACCCTAGCTCGGCGGCTAAGGCTGCGCCTCGCCTCTGAGCAGCGAAATGCATTGGGGACAGTGGTGGAGGTGGGCTGTGCAGATTCGCTTTGGTGCGGCAACACTTGGCTCTTGGGTGGCTGAGGTTAACTCACAGAGAAGCTGCATTCTGCCAGGTGTCCTGAGTTGCTGTGAACTGGCTTGGATACTTTGGGAGCTGAGTTTTCTCCTTAGAAACGGATGAGTTTCCGGAAGCAGGGTGGATACCTAGAGCTTGAAACGTGTTGCCCTTCATCCTTAGGAGCTTTACGGTTCCGATTGAGATACCGAATTCAGTCTGCTGGCAATGAAATAATTGTGAACCTATTCGCCAGTGTCTTGTAAGCATGCTGGTGGACACAATTTTGGGTGCACAAAGGAGGACTTTTTTTTTTTCGATTTGGGTGAAAGTTGACAGGTGAAATTTGTTTCCAGTCAACAGTCAGTACCCATATTGTAACAGCTGTCTCCCACCCCTCCCTGTGGTTACTTTTTCCCTGGGTTGGACTTTCCTAAGCATATCTGCCCTTTGAGCTTTCTCCCTGTGCAGATGCTGCCCTCCGATCTTCCATGGTTGGTTGGTCTAAGGAGTGTGCCTACTTGGTGTAATTGTTCACCTTGTAGGCCTGTGGGGCTGGAAGCGATGGAGTGAGTTCCAGGCCTGAAGGGTGATCATAGCCTTGGGGGTTTCATTAGTCTCTGTCAAACCAGTAAGCCTGGTCTTTTGATTTTTTAATTTTGTTCCACATTTTTCTCCCACTCTACCTCGTATCTCTTAAGTTTGATCCCTTTCAGAGTGATTGTGCATGGTAGCTGGGCATTGACTGAGGTTCCCTTGGCTCACTAGTGCCTTGGACTAATTGTTTGCATTCAAGGATGGACGTTTTTGAGACATATAGATTGAAAGTGAGTTCGTTTAAGGGACAGTGTTAATTAACTACAGATGCTGCTGGATTTCAGAAATTTGGAAAAAATAGCTAGTGATTGCCAGCTCCCATTTTGAATAACCAATCGGCCATACCTTGTAATTTTGTTTTGGAAGGTGCCATTGGGTGCCAACTCTAAGAGTTTTTTGGGATTTTTGTCCCAGCTCTATTGCCATCATTTACTGTACCGCCTGATTTGTAGAAGAGTGATTAATGAATGAATGTGGGTCAAATTGTGCAGACTGACATCCCCGTTATCTGCTTGCAAAGTCCAAACATCAAGAATTATTCTAGGTACTAGGGATACTTGTGCAGAATTAGAAAGGATTGGTTTGTTGCGTCGAATGATTGGATGTCTGTAGATGTTGGCAATTAGAGTAAAACTTGGATTTATCTTTCCTGAACAGCCATAATGGTGCGCATGAACGTCCTGGCTGACGCTCTTAAGAGCATCAATAATGCCGAGAAGAGAGGCAAACGCCAGGTTCTTATCAGGCCATGCTCCAAGGTCATTGTTCGGTTTCTAACTGTGATGATGAAGCATGGTAAGTGTTGGTGTTTTGTTTTGATGTAATTATTTACGGAATTGTAATGGGTCATTTGTGGGAGGGAGAGCAAATGAAACTTGTCAAAGAATCACTGAATGAGGTAAGACTTCAAAGAAGGGGAAATCTGTGTTTTTGATTGTTGACCTCTTGTGTTTTGGGAGTTAACTAGGTTTGTGTCTCCTCTCCTTTAAATTACAATCACTGAGGTGATCTGAGGAAAAAGAACTTAGTGTTTGGGAGGGAAACAGCAGGAATACTAGAGGAACGAAAGATTTAGGTTTGTCAGAAATAATATCTGATACAGTCATTCATGTTCTGTAGGTTACATTGGCGAATTTGAAATCATTGATGATCACAGAGCTGGGAAAATTGTTGTGAACCTCACTGGCAGGTTAAACAAGGTAAGAATTGATCATTTCACATTTGAGAGCCTTAAGGATTCTCTAACATGGTATTCTTTTTTTTTTTTAATTGTGATGTGGGTGAAAGTTTAAAGCAAATTCTCTTTCCATACACAGTTCACATACACTTTGTCTCATGACATTGACTACAGTTTACCACAATGCAACAGCTCCCTTCCCACTCCCTCCGATAGTAGTTAACCTCTTTCCTGTGTCCTTCCCTCCATGTACTTTTGCCCCCTGAGCTGTCTCCCTGTGCATGAACAGCCCTTCTTTCTCCCATGATTGTTCTCTCCAAGGAGTGTAACTACCTCAGTGTTCAACTCATATGCCTGTTTTTTGTTTGACTGGAAACCACAGCTGTGGGTTCAATCCAGACCTGAAGGACAGCCATAGTCTCAGTGGTTTCACCAGGCTCTATCAGACCAACAAACCTGCCCCCCACCCCCCAAAATGATTTTGAGTTTTATTTCACGTTCTTTTCCCTCTCCATCCAGGATCTTTCACGTAGATCCCCCTCCGAATGGTTGACAGTGGTAGCCGGGCACCATCTAGTTCTGGTCTCATAGTCATATAGGCTTCAGATCGAATGGTGTATCAGTCACTAGGACTAATTGTTTCCGTGAATCTCTGGTTTTCTTCATCCTTCTTTGCTCTGGACGAGGAGAGACCCATTGTTGAATCTAGATGGCTGCTTGCAAGCTTTTAAGATCCCAGTCACTACTTGTCAAAGTAGGAGGTGGAACAATGTTTTGTGTAGTATGTTATGCCAATTGAGCTTGCTGTCCCCTGTGACTATGGCCCTGAGCCCACAGGTTCAACTACTTGCTCCCTCTTGGTAGCTGGCTGTGGCCAAGAAGTGACTACAACCATGTCAGCTCTACTATTCTCCTGGAAATTCTTACAGAACATAAAAATACACTTGTAGAGCCATTGTCTGCCAACCCTACACATGGTCTTGGGTACGGTACACTCTCCCCTTCATAGACATACCTAATAGTTCCGCCTGTCCACCCATATAGCCATCTCTAACATGGTGTTCTTAATTGCCTTTGGGAATACTGAATGATGGTGCTGTGCTTGCTTTGCCTAGTGTCAGTTGGCCTGAGTGTGTGGGATACAAGCTAATCCAAGGAAGGTGAGGTTTGGGATGAGACGAGCTGTGGTGGTACCAAATCACCATCCCCCTTGGTAGCTTGCATGTGGGCAGCCCGTGGCCACTTGTTATTGCTATATGCCATCGAGTCAGACCCGACCCAGAGTGACTCCTCAGGCTTTTGAGGTGGTATCACCCTCAAATATAAAGAAATCACTTTGTCCTTCCACTCTCAGTCGTCGTATTGGGTTTTTTGAATATACTCTTAATACTTACTTCTGAGTTTTTGCTGGCATAGGCTTTATGGGTCTGTCAGGTCTGTGCTGCCTTCAGTTTGACTTGTCACCTGCATAGGCAAGAAGATGTATTAAACTTCGTGGTTTAACTGATTGCATGTATTTCTGGGGCAAGTATCTTAAGTTGGTTAGGATCCCAGAGCTGCTACCCCTGCTTTCTGTGTTCAGATTTGTGGCATTTATATTTGCAAGGTGTCTGTCCCAGGACAGATGGGGCCGAAAACTGGCTGTAAAAGTGGCATGGAATAAGTGCTGCTTCTCACTGTTTCTGGTGTTAGAACACTCTTGTATCCTGGGTCAAGGAGGTTCCTAGTGCAGGGGAACCCTGGGTCCAAAGGATGTTCCCCACTCTTGCCTCTTCTTGGTGGTAGTCAGATCCCCCTTTCCTGCCTTTGGTATTGCTTATTTTACAACTGACCGATGCCCACACTTTATTTGCATGGTCCCACCACCACAAAGGGTGCCAGGCACTTTGTTTACTTTATTAACAAGTTATCTGATCATTTGCTGGGAGTTACAAAGTCTGGCTAGTCTAGTCACATTAAATAATTCACTGTACCACACTGGCCTGGAGAGAAAGTAAGTTCTGATGGCAGTGGCCATATTGGTAAGATCATTTCCTAGTAACTGAATCTAACAGTTTGTATTTTGCATTTTTGTTTCCAATATAGAATATACTTGCTCATGTGTGGAAACAGATAATGTCAGAATAAAAACTAGGGGATATGTGAAGACTGAGATTATTGCTGGTTGTACTGCAAAGTGGCATTTCAGTTGACTATTCTTTTCTTTTTGACCCTCATGTTCTTAAACTTTCTCTCTGATTCTCTCTTCTTAAAGTGGAAGAGGATGTGTGTCAGTATTTTCTAATTTTTACAGAGTTTAGGATATATCCAACAAAGTCTCTAATGTTAACTGGCCAGAGAGCTGTTTCCAGTATATAGATTTTAAAAACATCACCCCTGTTGCGTTTCAGCTACAGATCATGATGACTGTAGAGTGAATTACTGCTTCACAGGATTTTGTTGTCTGTAATCTTTAAGGAATCTGTTGTCAGGCTTTCTTGTTTGCTGTGCCACTGTGGGTGGGTTCAAACCACCAACCATTCAGGTTTGTAGTCGAGTACATACCATTTGTACTACACAAAAACCAAAACCAAGCCCATTGCCATTGAATTAATTCTAACTCACAGTGACCTTAAAGGCAGAGTAGAACTGCCTGATAGCATTGCCACAGTCTGTAGTCTTTACAGAAGCAGGCACATCTTCCCTCTGGGGAGTGGCTGGTGGGTTCAAACTGCTGACTTTTGGTTAGCAGCTGAGTGCTTAACCACTGTGCCACTGGGGGTCCGTGTGTGTGTGTGTGTGTGTGTGTGTGTGTGTAAAACTCGGTGGTGTAGTACCTGAGGCTGGCAGTTCAGACCCACCAGCCACTCCTTGGAAGGAAGACTTAAGCAATCTGCTTCTGTAGAGATACTGCCTGGAAAACCCAGGGGGGTTGCTATGAGTTTGAATTGATTCGATGGCAGTGAGTTGAGTTTTAGTAATACTTAAATTGTCCTTCAGAAGATAGGATCAATGGAAAGCTGCATTGGATGTTCAGTATAGGGAATAACTTGAGAGAAAGTAAATTTAAACAGAGCAACTCCCAAATGGAACTCTTGTCCCTTTGTTCTGTGATAAAATAGTTTGAAAAAAATATTCTAGGCTAAGAGGCAGTAAAATACTTTCAAATTTACGTTTTTTCATTTATAAAAGAGTGGTACCTGAGATTGCCTCTTGTGAGAAATGAGTCTGTTCTCTCTTATCCTTAGTGTGGAAATGTATCAGAGCTGGGACTTAAAAGTAGGTAGTGTTTGAAGGTTATAGGTTACTTAAGATACTTCTGGCCAGTAGGACCCACCTGAGTCAGGAGAACAGTATTCTGGTTTAATTCTGGTTGAATGAGGGGTTTTTGCCTTGTTGGTATGGGATGGAAGCCTTGGTAGCTTGAAAGAATAAAAACACGGTAGCTTGCTTGGAGAACTAGTTTTCCCATTTTCCTATTCCTGTGTTCCATCTGGTATGGGATAGTCCTTGACTCTTACTAGTCAAGTGATAGCATAGCTATAGAACAGTGGTAGAAACTGGAGAGTCTGAGCAGGCTTGCAGGTCTGGGGTGATTGGGTCTTTTGATAGGCCCATCTTTTAGCTTCTGTGGCTTTATATCTTTCCCTGGAAAAGCATAACATTGCTGAGTTGGTTTGTAGCTGGTGCGAAGGATGAAGTTCTGGCCTTGTAGCCTCTCCCTTTACTTTATGTTCAAGCCCTTTGGGTTTTTTTAATGATTTTCTTACGTAGCTGTATGAATGTGTGAGCTCGACTGCCTGCCTGCCTGTGTCACAGCCCCCAGAGCTGTCACTTTGATGGTAATCCTGAGTGTTCTGCCACGGTCATTTGTTGTGTGAAAACAGTGGGACACTTTATGTAATGATTTCAGTTATTTGTAGAGTGGTGATGTAAGCAGGGGATCATATTTAGTCCCAAAGAGGCTTTTAATCTCCTGAACTTCCATTTTCTAAAGTCATGTGGCAGGAATCCACAGGTAAAATCATGTAGTCTTTCTTAAAGCAAGTTGGTTTGACCATGGAATGTGGTTTAGGATTTGCATATAATTGATTAAATCCTGGAGAGAGATGGGGGCAGTCAGCTTCTGCAAAGATTACAGCCTTGGAAACAGGAGCCCACTCCACGGGGGTGGGTATGGCTTTTATGGGTTTGAATGATTGAAGTATATATTGCTTTGGTTTTGGAGGGATAGTTGTGTCCCAGAGGCAAAGAACTTTTTGTTAAAACTTAGCCTGGGGTCAGAAATGTAGAAGGGTGCCTCTGGCCTTCTGGAGCACAGCAGTTCTTAGATTTTAAGTTAGTGTCTGTGGAGCTTGTTCCTTAGATATTTTTATGTTTATTTAATCTAAAGATTTGAGACTGTACAAATTGATTTCAACCTTACTATAAAACAGTCGACTATAATCTTATTTAATATTTTGTCTCAGCTTTGAAAAAACATCTTGTTTGTTCTGGGACAGGTCCCCAGCCCATGTGGTGCATGCCGATGGCCTGATACGTATGTGTTGTCTTACTTTGGCAGTGAACTGCCTTGTGTTCTGCCACTTTTTACTTTTTTTTTTTTATTGTGAAAAAATCCATAAAACATTTGCCATCTCACCAATTTCTACATGTGTGATTCTGTGACATTGAGTACAGGTTGTGAAACTGTTCTCTGTCCTTTTCCACATCATTCCACCACCGCTAACACAAACTCAATGCCCCTTAAGCAGCAGCTACGCTTTTCCCCCTTCTACCTTTGGTAACCAGTCACAATCTTTGGTTTCTAGATACTTGGTTTTTTCAAATAAATGAGGTTATATAGTTTTTGTCCTTTTATGGCAAATTTATTTCTTTCAGCATGATGATGTCACAGTTCATCCATGCTGTGACATGTCTCAGGACCCTTGTTTCTCTTTATGGCTGAGTGGTGTTCTGTGGTGTGTACCATGTTTTGTTTATCCCTTCATCTATAGACATTCCTATAGTTGCCAGCTGGTGTATTGTGAAAAGTGCTACATAGGACTTTGGTATACAAGTTTCTGTTCGTGTTCCCATCTTCAATGTTTTGAGGAGCTGTCAAACTTTTCCAGTGACGGAATCCTTTTACAAGGAGCCCTGGCTTAGTGAAAGCATAGGACAGCTAACCAGAAGGTCAGCACTTCGAACCTAGCAGCTGTTCTGCGGGAGAAAGATGCGCCAGTTTGCTCCTGTGAAGACTTAAAGCCTTGGGAAACCCCATGGGACAGTTCTAATCTGCCCCATAAGGTTGAGTGGCAGTGGATGAGGGTTCCAGCTTTTCCACAACCGTGTAACACTTGCTTTCCATTCTTTTTGTCATAGTCATCCTAAAAGCACTGAGGTGGTAATATTTTCATTAACGTTTTCATATTTTTTGCTACTTTTTCCCCCTAGGCAGATTGCTTGTAGTGAGGGGTAGTCTTGACTCTGTTTTTTTAAATGACATGAGAATTATACACAGTGGGTATACATTAAATACTGAGTTGATGGTATGTGTGACTTATTGAGCAATTAAAAATACTGCCTGTATCCAGTTTTCCTGTTGGTGAAGTGCAAACAATATTTTGTGTTACCCTTTTACAGTGTGGAGTCATCAGCCCTAGATTTGACGTGCAACTCAAAGATCTAGAAAAGTGGCAGAATAATCTGCTCCCGTCCCGTCAGTTTGGGTAAGAGATGATTTCCTCATTTAAAGAAGTTAATACCAAAAGTC